TTTTTAAAAATCGCAATGTGAAAAAATCGCGTAGGTAGTAAAATTGAAGTTTTAATATTTATATTAAGGCATGAGGCAAATATTGCCTGGGTGATAAGATTATGCTTTTAATTTGTGAAGATATCTCGTAAAATATTTTGGTACAATTAATCACTTTCATTTTAGTGTTTTTAGGTTACATATGAAGGAATTACTTATTCATTATAACATAATATGCTGGGTCGCTATTTCGATGTTGGTTAGGCTTTTAAAGCCATCATAATCGAAAGCCTGACTTCACTGCCATAATATATTTGCCGTGGGACTAACCTTAGGTGGTGAATAAGATAAGCTGAACTTATTTAAAATTTAAAATGTTAAAGTTTTCTGGTACCGAACTTGATAATATTAACAAAAAGTTACGGGTCTTAATCATAGCCTATAGACAGCCCGTGTGTAAAATATGTGAGGTGTATCTAAATCAATATCATCAAGAGTCAAAAATGAAAATTGGTATAACAAGCTTAACTTTAGGTGAAAGTTTTTTTCAAGCTTATGCTAATGCATAAAAATTCGGCTTTCTCCTGCAGTAAAAAGGGTTTTCAAACCCGTTGGACGAATACACTTTGATGAATTATGTCTGAGGTCTGCTAAATCCTCAGAAGTGCATCAAAGTTACTATGAATTTCGCTATACAATTGCAAACTAGCTAATTATTTAAAATCATAACGTAGGAGCGCAAGATCTAAAGTGTATTCATTACATTGAAACATGGCTGATTGAAATACTTTTCCGATATGATTACCGAGTGGAGATGCTTTTGAAAGCGTGCTTAGTTAAATGCTTGATTTTAATCATTCTTGAATTGTAAGCAGGCACCATACTTGATGGTACAGTGATTGTGTTCATATGGTATGCTAACAAGATAAACGTATTTGTTGTGAGACGTCTTTATAATAATGTAAGATGGACTGAGTATATGCAAAGCAGAGAGATTGAGCATGATAAAATCAATGGTCTATTAGGGTAGAAGAGGCAGAATTAATTTTAATTCGTAGACATGATTTCACTGAGATGTTTTAATCATTGCCTAAGGTATAAGTTCGATAGAGCTTTAAAAAGAGTTCTTAAAAGGTTTATAAATACCGCTGAGACATAGCTGCGAACAAGATCAAGAATGTTACGGGAATTGATAGTCTGAGTCTTGGCCAAGCAGATCTAAAATATAACCAATGTTGTGAACCCCTAATATTTTTGATAAATTCAAATGAATTGCGAAATTAGACTACCAGTCAAGTATCAATGATAAATTGAGAAAATTTATTTCGCAAACCTTTGGTCCAAATCGCATCCTTTGGAGACTTTTATACCTCGACTGGCTACAATGGAACGAGTTCATGATATCATCTGCCTGCTGAGTCGTGTTAAGCATATCAAATTACGTTAAACCTTGTATTCTAAGCCCTCCAGATAAACAGCTTATATTGTGCTGGCTCTGAAGGAAAGACAGGTTGTAATAAGGTTCAAACTGAAGAAGATTGGTCGAAGAAGTTGGGGTATAATCATTATCAGGACTTGTCAGTACGAGTCAATTTCGGCAAAGTTGCCGTTGAAGAATTCACCATAAGGGCTCAATGCAATGAGCCGGGGTCGAATAATTGACAGTCGATTTTGTGAAAAATATTTTGGTAGAAAAATGGATAAATAGCACAATACACAAGCCCTAACAAACACCCTAAACCTCTAATTCTATTCTAAAACTTCTTATGTCGGACGCGAAGAGAGGCTAATGATAAAAGTCTTCACAGTTAACCTAAATTTGTGGGCCGATGTAACATTCTATTGATGCTGTATTGAGGACAAAGGACAGGGAAAATTAAAAGGAGACTTGCAGCATCGGCATCATTTCCTGTACCTCCACTTTATACTAGCTTCTCCATGATAGCTTCGCCCACTTCAGATACTACAAAACATGATGAATGAGTCAGCAGTTATTGTGTAACTTAGGAAATCTCTTGACTTATACCGGCGGTATTGATAAGAGAGTGTTCTATTTGTCCCGTTTGTATTCTGGTTAGCGGAGTCTCTCCAATTCATTTATCCAACTACTTTTTCAGGTGTCGGCTAAAATAGGTAGAGTGAATCCGGTGGGTGGGAGAATGGTATGACACCTCATCTCTAGCAGAAATGCGACCTTTTATGGCATAGGGCATGAGGCTTATAAACGACCCCAAATCGATATTATAAGATTTCCTAGTGTACTTAAGTGAAAGTGTTGAGCTTCCACTGGAATGCATTGCGCTTAAAGTTAGGCTGCCTTCCTCCGGTATCATTTTGATCATTACCAAGACCACTTAATCGCAGAAGAGTTTCTCAAGTTTCCCTGAAAAAATATTTTTTTAAACAATCTTTCAGAGAATTTTAAATGCAAATTGGCTCATTCAGGGGATGTCTGGCTTAAGAGCATGGGAGGACTTTGCCTCCGACACATACGATATGAACTTCCGGTTTATTAGGTTGAGTTATGAAAAGCTAAGGCAAAGATGAAAGAGCATAGAGGAATATAGATAGTGGCCTTTTACGAATTTTATATCGGTTAACTTCATCAAAAATTGCTGCCTATCTATGTTTTACTGAAAGCAAATTCTACATATGCCAGACTCCCCAGTGGTGGGACCTTCCTCCATTTATTGCTTATCAATTATATCTCAGCCCATTCCCAGCCTCAGGAAGGTATACCAAAAGAATCAGTTTTTAAAAACCTTATGTTGACTGGCAGGCTTTAGCAGAGTGTTTAGTCATGATTAACATTCCTCTTGGGGATCAGGAAGAGTGGCTGGCTCTCAGAGATTGTAATCGGTCGCTGTCGTATCATTGAATTGGGAATTTACATGCATACACCCTTACATATCCTTTGCTCTTCCGTGGCACGTTCGCGACATTCGGAATGTAAAATTCTTTTGCATCAACTTTAAAACTATTCTGCTGACTTTGGTTAATATTCTAAACAAAACTACATTTAGTATAAAAGAAACCAATTGAACCATTAAAACAATTTAGATCGGAGTATTTTATGATGTTAGGCAACAAAAAGTTTCACATCACACCCCAAATAAAAAACAGAAATGACCACAGATCCAAGGTATGTTAAAAAACGATGGTACTTTGTGGAAGGCTCCAAATTCAGCTGAGTGATCAGCATAGCAAAGACTGCATATATCCCCTATTTAATCGCCCTCTTCCACATTTAGCTTGCCTCTCTCTCCTACATTCTCGCTCTTGTCCACTTTGGAGATTATTTATAAACTTAAAATATGTCCATTTCACTCAATGGGCCAGCTCGTGGCTGAGCAGATGCTCGTGTGTTAACGCCAGCAGACGCTCTCAAGTGAATTACATAACCAATTTGACCGGGAGTGCCATTAACATAAGTCATTCTACCCCAGCTGGGCGGGCCAGTCTCCTCCTCCATTCCAGTCAAGTGTCTCAGTTCCAATCTAGAGTCGTATTCGAACGACAAAAGCCACATAGGCTGACTACTGCGTTTCAACGATCCTCTTCATTCAGACATTCAGTTTACAAGGCAGCAAATTAACTCAGCCTACAATGAATGTGAATGCGTGCAGGTGATGAAAGTCGGTTCTTCGTGTTACTTGCTCTTCCATCCCCCGTCAGCCTCGTCATTCATCAAATGCAACTGGGTCATTAGGCTTGTCTTGCCCTCAATGACTTCCGCTGAATTGCAACATCCGGTGGTGAAAGAGGGGTTAATCAAGTTGGTCCAAATAAACTGGAAGCGCAAAGAGAGTACAGAGAATATACTGAAAACATGTAGTCAAGTCTGTGCATCTATTCACATTAATTTGCAGTTACATAATAATATGAATATGTACCTTATTGTGTGCGAATGGATGGACATACAAATGAACATATGGGCAAATCGTATGGTCAAATAGCATATAGAAAACGTGCAAAAACATCTTACATCAGAATACGTAAACATAGCCCAAATGAAAAGGGATGAAATGTGATTGACATCCCTTTCCATCGTCCACTCACCAGAGGTGAGACTGGATTTTGCCTACAAGACACTTCAGTTTGAAGTAGTTCACTTGATCGGCCAACTCCTAGAAGTGAGCCATCGGGAGTCGTGTAGAATGCTGTCTGTCAGCTTCCCTTGCGAAACCATTTCGTGTAAAGATAATAATACTATTTGCAATGATAATGACCGTTTAAGGCCAAGAAATTTCAGCGTATTTTAAAAGCAAAGCTAGTCGCTTGGCCCCTCAGTTCATCAGGAGCCGATGATCGGATAACTCATGAATAAGTGAATAAGTAACTTGACGCTTTATGCTAGATTTCATACTCACTTTACGCTCTAAGAGAGCCGTCTTTATGAGAGTTATGTGGGATTTCAAGCTGAGTGATATCCCAAATTAATTCATGCTGATATCTCTAGGCCAATTTGTTACGTAGCCAATACAATTATGATAAAAAGTAGGTATTATTTTGGGTCAGATTTGAGTCTCTAGCATCTTCAAACGATTCGTCTAAGATGGGGTGGAACTCATATTTAGCAGGCAAGAGCAAAGCCTATTCTTGATAGGACCGAAATCAACGAGAGTCTAATTCGAATTTAGTAAAGTT